AGACCAGTTTGGATATCTGAGGAGTGGTCTTGATTATATATTGTATGGGGTTTAACATTTATTTTCAATCTTTTTAAGATGTGGAATGAGTTTATTTCTGATTTCGTATTCGGTAAATGTTTTCAAAACGACTTTTGGATCGTTTATATGATCAACGTGGTCACCCCGATTCAGTTGTAACTCCTAGGTTGGGTCTAGGGACTTACGTAAACTGTTGAGAAACAGTTTTGATGGATTAGATTCAGAAGAGAAAGACATGTTTCTTGACATAGCTTGTTTCTATAAAGGGGAGGATCGAGAGTTTGTAACAAGGATTAGGGATGCTTGTTATATCTCTTCACATTCCGGAATTGATGATCTCATCGATAAATCTCTGATATCTGTTTCAGAAAATAAGATAGCAATGCATGATCTATCGCAACAGATGGGTCGAGACATCGTTCGCAGTGAATCACATTCAGAGCCTGGAAGACGCAGTCGGCTGTGGATTTCTGAGGACATCTATGATGTACTAACAGAAAACTCCGTAAGGGCCTTGTTCATTTTCTTAGCTTATCTTACTATCATTCTTCATTTTCTTCGAAACATATTCGAACACATAATCGAATTAGACACACTATCATTCTTTATATATAATTGACTCCTGATTCTGACATGCTGCTCTTGGTTATAGGGGACTAAAACACTCAAAGGCATGCTACTTGACATGTCCAGAATGCCAGAGCTGGAAATAAAAGCAGAAGCCTTTGTGAAGATACGAAAACTTCAGTTCCTCAAATTCTAAGGGACAATATCCAAAATCTTCTTTCCTCATGGGCTTTTATCACTTCCTGATGAGCTAAGATACCTTTGTTGGGAGGGATACCCGTTGAAAACTTTACCCTCCAGGTTTGATCCAAAGAACCTGGTTGAATTTGATATGGGATTTAGCCATGTCGAACTACTCTGGGAAGGAAAACAGGTATTTTCTTCTTCTTTTTAGACCTTGCTCGCCATGGTTTTTCTTTGATTCATGCAAACATATATGGAACTAATTTCATCGCCATTTCTTGATTTTTACTTTCATGTCTGCTGCATTATTGTTCTTCAATGTACAAGTTCATCAAACACTATGCTCTGATGCATGCAGGATTTAGTAAATTTGGAAGTTAGCTTTCTCTTCGAATCTACGAACCTTGTTAGAATCCCAGACCTATCAAGCGCCACAAACCTTGAATCTATAAACTTTGCAAATTGTACAAAGTTGCTCGAGCTTCCTTCATACTTCAACATCGTGAGAAGCTAACTCGTCTGAATTTGAGATTGTTCAAGAACCTTAGATCTCTGCCTAGCTTTTATAAAGCGACATCCCTCACCACACTTATTCTCAGCGACTGCTCGAATATCTCTAGCTTTCCAGAGGTTTCACCGAATGTAAGAGAGCTACAATTAGAAGGAACTGCAATTGAACTAGTACCTTCGTCAGTTGAGTCTCTTTGCCAACTCGTTTTGTTGTCAATGGAAGATTGTGCAAGGCTGAAGAACTTACCAACTGCAGTTTGTAATCTGAGATGCCTTGAAGTCCTTTCACTCAATGATATCCCAAGTATCACAACATTTCCAGAGATCTAAGGAAATATAAAAGAGTTAAATTCGCAAGCAACTGCAATTGAAGAAGTTCCTTCGTCGATCAGATGTCTCTCCAATCTTCGTATATTGAACCTAGCATGTTGCAGGAGGCTTAAAAGTTTCTCAACAAGTATTCACAAATTGAAATCTCTTAAGGGCTTGTATCTTGAAGATTGCTCAAGATTGTAGATTTTCCCAGAAATCTTGGACACCATGGACAGTTTGAGAAATCTTGATTTAAACCGGACGGCTTTGAAGGAATTGCCGTACTCAATGGAGAATCTTATTGGTCTACGAACACTGAGATTGGAACAATGTGAAAACCCTGTTTACCTTCCTGAAAGCTTTTACAAATTGAAATCTCTTTTGTTTCTTTATGTTGATGGCTGCACAAATCTTGTCATATGGCCAGATAATTTGTTTTCTGCAATAGGAGGAGCTTCTTCTTCTTCAATAGGTAGACCGGAGATACAGAAAGATCTCCAAGGGTTGTCCTCATTGCTGGACTTAGATTTATCTGGAACCAATCTTGAGAACTTACCGGCAACCATCAAACAATCTAATAGATTGCAGAGGTTAATCTTGTGGAAATGCAAGAGACTAAAATCATTACCAGAGCTTCCTCCAAGCCTAATACATTTAGATGCACATGACTGCACTTCACTAGAGGAAGTCTCGAGCATTAAAACGCATTTTGAGCAAGCACTGCTTTTTAAAGATAAACCATATGGAACCAAGATCTTGGCTTTCATATTTACCAATTGCTTCCTTCTGGAGTTGCAGATGCTATTTGGACATATGGTGACTATACTAAAAGATTATCATCAGGTCAGGTTCTTCTTGTTATTTCATATTTTCAATCTTGCAAATGTTTTATGTGCTGAATGATCAATCTTGTTCCTGATAACTGTAATCGAACAGGCATCCCCTCAAAGAACTAAGTCTACAACATGTGTCCCTGGAAGCGAAATCCCAGAATGGTTCGATTTCAAAAGCTTAGGATCTTCGATAAACATCCAGTTGCCATCAGAGTGGTACCGTAATAGCAGGAAAAACTTTACAGGTTTCGTTTTTTCCGGTGTTGTTTCATTCCAGGACTATTCTGAAGAAGAATTTAACATTGGATGTGAAAGTCATCTAAAATCCAGTGACGGCGACTGTCATAATATCATATGTTATTTCACCATTTGCGCAAGGAAAGTACTCCACGGAAGCCGATCAGTCAGGTCAGATCACTTGTTCCTTGTATATGATGATGAAGAAGTTAGGCGGTTTGTCGAAACTCAAGCACTAGACAAGTGTATTTACAATGAGGCCTCGTTTAAATTCTATCCTGTTGTTTGGGATAGGAAATGGTCACAATGCTTTTCCTGCGAGGTAAAACAATGCGGGGTTCATCTGTTATTTGCAAAGGATGATGCTGAGGTACAACCACCTAAAAGGCTCAAGTATATCAGTTAAATGAAGCATTATCCGGAACACCATTGAAATTAATTTTCAGCATTGGATCGATAATCGAGGGTGTAGGCCCTGAACCAACAGCACAAGTAAAAATAAACTAAGCTTGCTCTGCCACTGTTGTTCTTGTACCATCATGCACCACTGGACTGACTGGGGTGCCGCAGTTCTTATTTCGGGTTCGATGTCCAGTTTTTGTTTGGTGTGTGTTTAGTCTGATATTGTTTTGTACTTCGTAATTTCATCTCAATTTACAACAATTATGTTGGATGCACCATGATCTATGCCTATGACTTCCAATATGCTGCATGATATTCATATACCTAATCCATAACATAAATAATGTATTTTGGTTATAATGAAGAACCTAACTATATACTAGCTAGATAGAAATTACATCCTTTTAGTGAGTATAATTGCTGCAATACTTATTGTAGTCCAAGTTACCTCTCCATTACCTTTAGCTGGTTGGGACTTCTGGTCTATTTTGCCTGCAAATGCTGTGCTTTACTCGCCCGAAACGCTTCCGAGGACCGCGGAGCATGCTCTAAGAAGGGCAGTCCCAGCAAATACAAACATGAAGGCTACACAGGTTTTAAAGTGATAACTGAACCCAGAAATTTGGTATGTTTAGATGCTAATCACCCTTTCTCTGACCATCTTTCGTTTTTCTTATAGGCTTCCTTGGAAGACCTTTCCTACTGCTAAGGATTCCACAAAGAAAGCCTTATGGGAACAATGGAGGGTAATGTCAAGAGAGCCTCAGGGGTTCAATCAACACTTGATTCCAATATACTCCGCTCGAGTTCTTAACGAGCCAAAACGAACTACTTAATATCTTACTCGAAAAACTCCCACGCAACTCAAAAAACCTTTATTCAACTCGGAAAATCGACCATCTAAATTGCAGGGTCATCCTATAAGATATAAACAATTACATTTAAATTTCAAAAAAAAAATTAAATAAATATATTTAATTTTATTAACTTGAAGGTTTTCTTCATTTCGATTCAATTAAATATTCATTGCTAAAATCAAGTGAAAGATTTCTTTTACTAATTAGTATTATTTTAAATTAAAAATTTATATTTATCTTTAGTTGAAAATGACATCATTAAAAACAATATTCGAGATCAAATGTAAGATATTAAATGCGGATATTGATAAATAATAATGAAATATTAGATCATATTATAATAAAATATTTTTTTATCGGTGATTGCAAAGTAGTATCAGTTTCAAATACTCTAAAATCATTTGATAACGAATATTCAATCACACTTACAGTCGTTGGTTTTCGAACTCACGACTTCTAAGAACAATAATGATTCCTTTAACCACTAAAGTAAGTTGATTCGCTCTATTATACTAAAGCATTAGCAGATGCATTATTATCAAAAGGCTTAATACAAAAATAGGTATCTAAATTGTCTCGAAAAACGTTTTAGTGCCTAAAGAATTTTTCGTTAAAAATAGGTGTAGAATGTTTTCTCCGTTACACTTTTAGGTGCCCGGATGTCAACCGCTGTTAAATTTAGTCGTTAAGTGACATGCATCATATTCTGATAATTTTAAAATTTTTATTTAAAATAAAAAATTAAAAAAATATAATTTTTATTTAAAAAACCTAAAAAAAATTCAAATCTTAAAAAAACCTCAAACTTTTAAAACTTTAATTTTAATCTCTTTACCACCGATAGTTGCCACCAATAGTTGCCACCAATGTGTGACCGACCAACCACTCACGACCAAAAGTCTTATACTTTTGCAACCAATCGAATACCCAAAAACAATGTAAATGGATATTTTTGTTTTAGAGTTTCAAATCCATAAAAATCCCTTAGATTGATCATTGAAATTGATAGTTTGATCGAATGTGGTGGTCGGTCGTTTGCCTTTTGGTCGGCCATGGTAAGGGAGGGGGATAAGGGAGGGAAAGGGAGGAAGGGAGGAGAGGATGCATTGTTTTTTTTTTAGTTTTTTAATATAAAATATTTTTAAAAAATTCAAAAATACCAACACGTGACATGTGTTACTTAACTGAGCTTTTTAACGGTGGTTAATGTTCGGGCAACTAAAATGGTAATAGACAAAATGCAATGCACCCATTTGTACATATTTTTAATGAAAAAAAATTTAGGCACTACAATAATTTTTGAGACGAAGTTTAAACATTTATTTTTATATTAAGTCTTATCAAAACATATAACGAATGCAAAATTTTATATTGGATATATAATCTTATAGAATTTAAGGAGGTGTGAAAATTTAAAAAAAAAGTAAAAATATCAACAGAAAATATTTAAAATATATAAAAAAATTAAAATTTTTAGAAGTAAGAATGAAATCTATCGTTTATATTAACATGAAAAGACAAACAATATTGTATTCAATGCAAGTGAAAGTTGACAACAGATAAGTCAAGATTCCAAATCTGCAACTGATTAATCATATTGGCAGCAGCTTAGGAAGAAAACGAATTTTTTAGATCAAAATCTTGAAGAAGAAGAAGAAGATAGGTTTCAGAATCTCCATGGCAATTTCATAGGTTTAAATTCTGGGTTGAAACTTTTTTTTTTTTTAATAACGTAGGACTTTTCAATGTTAGACTAAATAACTTGATCCTACAAATCAACCTCCGGAGAGGTTCAAATAACCCATCACTCTATCCATCGCTTTTTCCCAGGATTCTCACCAGTGCGGTTTGGGTTGAAACTTTTGATTTCATAAAGGAACGACTTTTATGGGGTCAACAAAGTCGTTGGTGTGAACTCCATGAAACAATAGGGCTGGTGCACCGCCCACACCTCCCTTTTCCTAAAAGCTTCTTCTTTGCACTTTCGGACTTTCCTCATAAATTCTTTACCTTTTTTTCAATAAAATAAATCATAATTAATTAATATTTTATATATAAAAAAATTTGTCACTTGAGTTTTCAAAAATATTAGGAAGATAAGAGATATCGTTAAAACATTATCTAGCAGCCATTAATAAAGCAATTCTTACTCGGGTCTTTCCTGTATTCTCTTTCAAGTCTCCCCCTTTCTCTTTCCTTCTGCTGCTCACAGTTTCATAAAAAAAAAAGGAATCAAATTGAACTGAGCAACAAAAGAAAAAGATGTCTGATTATTTTCCAGTAGAAGTGATCATCGAAATCCTCAAGAGACTCCCAGTGAAGTCCCTAGTGAAATGCAGGTCAGTTTGCAAGACCTGGAACAGTCTCATTTCCGACCCATCGTTCGTTTCAACTCATCTCCAAGCTTCCCTTTCCAGACCACCGAACAACAATCCCTTACTCCTCATCAGGTGCTCTAAGAACGGCAAAGAAAACTATTTTTTACACTATGATAATGATGGGTTTGATGAGTTTAAGAAGCTTCAGTTCCCTGTCTTTGACTGTGTGTCTTATTCTGTAGTCGTTGGTTCTTGCAATGGATTGATTTGTCTTAGTTTTCTTCCTCATGATGTTCTGAATTTCGTTTTCTGGAACCCTTCGATTCACAAGTACGTTTCTTTGCCTCAGCCTAGCATTTGCTGCTATAGTCCTGATGTGCATTTAAAATCTGGGTTCGGGTTTGATTCGAGAACCAATGATTACAAGCTGCTTATTTTTGGGGTTGAAAAGGGTGACAATTTGATTCAACCTTGTTTGTTTTCACTGAATGAAAATTGTTGGAAAGGGGTTGCTGCCATTTCTCCTAATTATGCTGTTGAAGCTGACATCTCATCAACTTTCGTTAATGGAGCTGTTCATTGGTTAGGTTATCAGAGAAGAAACAATAGCGGGTTCAGTAATACGATTCTGGGGTTCGATCTAAGTGCTGAGGGGTTTTTTGAGATAAGTTTGACTGAGAGCTTAATCGGTTTGTGTCCTATGGATTTGTCGACTATGAAGTATGGGGAATCTTCCATTGCAGTGCTTAATAGAGACTGGGAAGACGGTGAGTTGCTTGAGTTGTGGGTCATGAAGGAGTACGGTGTGGTCGAGTCATGGACTAAGGTGTTGGCATTACATATGTTTGATCAAAGTGGATGGTTTCCGAGGGTATTGGGGTTTCGTAACAATGGGGAAGCTTTATTGCAAGTGGGTGATGGAGAGATGGCTTCACTCGATTTGAACCGCCAGCTAATTGAGCCTCATGGAGTTGAGGTCGGGGAAGGGTTACTATGGGTCGGTAGTTACGTGGAGAGCCTGGTGTTGCTCGACAAAGCGATCGACGTCCCCTGTGTGAGCGATGCAAATCATGCTATAGATTCAAGTGATTGTGATGAATCAAGTTGGGGAGAGAGTGATGTAACATAGGACTGGTAAGCGCATTCCCATGAGTTTATATGGACTTGTATAAGCATAACTCTCCTCAAGTTAGCTTAATTGAATAAATTCCTTGATATAAATGATACATTGAGTGCTCCTGTGAATTCTAATCTCACATTGGGAAATTGTAAGAATGCGGTAGGATATATGTGTAGAAACAATAGAAGCAACGGAAACTCCGATAATTAGATCTGTTCGGAGGTTATAGAGAAAACTTTTTGACATTTTCACGTGAATCCCTTTGAGGATATCTGCTTGATATGTACCTTTTATCACATATATTGAAGTCTGCAGTCGATCTTTAATGCACTCTTAAAGATCAAATGTACTTCTTTATCAATCTGCCTTTGTCAGCTTAAGTTGAAATGCTTCTCTCACACACACTCTTATGCGCTCACATGGCACAAGCAAGCATGCTCGAATATGCAAACTCTGGCATTTCTGTTCTTTGAGTACCAAAATTATAACCCCTTGCTTGTTTCATGCGCCAAGTGGCCATTGTGCTTTCATGTTAGTCTTAAAACCACATGTTGTGTTTGTTTCCTAATGCCAATTCCTGCAATGCCGTATTCTGTTTCTAAGGAATCATGCAAATATATGGGCCATTAGAGCATACATCTGCCTTTTCGTCAAGGAGCGGAGCTTCCATATAGCCCTTTTTCTCCGTCTTGAACTTTTTTAGTTAGAATAGGCTCACGGGTGTACCGAGCCACCCTTAGGTAGTTTTACTATTGACATCCATTTGAAGTGCACATATGGTCTTGCCAATCTTGAACAGCCTCTTAAAGAGGAAACCCAATATTTGGTTATTCTTCTAACTTCTTTCTTTTGGTGCAAAGAACATTGTAGGTTGGAGGGATTGTAGAAGCTGCAACCTAGTAAAGGTGATTGCGTGAACCACCGAGCTAAGCCTCAGGTTCGCGGGTAATGTTTAAACTGAATGGAAGGAGAATATGTTGTATCCGAACTCCGAAGACTTTACATAGTATAGGCTAGATGCTTGCAATGCATGCAGTGCTTAATAACCAGTAGCGATGATAAGTCTTAGATCGATGGTGGTTCACTGTCGTCCTCATGTTTTAAGCTTTGATGCTTGAATTCATATAATGTGCACCATGACTGTTTATGATGGTACTTGAGGATTGAAGGAAATTGATAATCTTTTGCCCGCGTGATTCTGTTAATCTTACACACACCATTGGTCTTGAAGTTAGGTAGTCGATGCTGTTGATTTGACTGTAATATCGATAAGGTATTACCTGGCGTCGAAGTCGAATATCGTCACGGTTTTGTCCTCGGAGAAGAAAAGAAAAACCAAGGAAAATTAATCATGTTTTATGCAATTAATCTCAATCCTTGGTCAATCAGGGTACGTTTGTTTCATTCAAATCTATTTTCCTGAAAACATTTTTCTCGTTTCTTTTTTTCATAAAATGACTTACGGATTCATTTTCGATAAATCATCGTCCGGATCTTCGACTTCTCACATCTATCCTTTTCCCCCTCCCCTGCATCTTTACAAACCTTAGAATAAAAAATGATATTTTTCTATCTTTTTTTTCTTGTCACATCTATTTAATATTAATACATTATAAACCAAAATAAGAATAAAAAATCACTTTTTATTTTCATATTATCTCTTTATTAAATAAAAACAAAAGTGGCCGTATATTATGTTTTTCAAAATCAATGAAGAAAAGTAGACAAAACACAAATATAAATAATTAATCATGTAGTTAATCCAAAATTAAAACCTAAAATTTTCAGATTATGAAGATAAGAAATATCGTTAAAATATTATATGGCGGTCATTAAAATAAGGCTTAAATATAAAATAAGTGCCTAAACTATAGCGCTTTTCACGAGTAGATGTTTAAATTATTTTTTAATGATCCTTGTGCTTAACATTACAAATGTTATCACTTTAGCAGAGGTTTTATTTGCATTCTGAAGTGTTCGACTTCGACGAGCTCCTGCAGTAGCATAAGTTCTAAGCTTCTCAAGGATCCTCCTCTCACTTATTCTTAATACCAAAGAACGATACAATTTCCTTTCTTTCATGCAACATCTCTTTAGAGCTTCCATATCTTCATCTATCGACTTGTACATAATGTTCTTCTAACCACCACCCCCCTTCTTCTTTCCTTTTGAAATTTTGGATAGTCCTGATCAGAATTCAAATCGCGATCGCGTTTTCGGTCATGTCCCGTTTACCGCGATTACGGCTATAGCGATCGCAATTACGGGTATAACGGGAGTTATTGCAGGTATAGTTGGTATATCGGAACGCAACACTACCGCTATTTCGCGGGCGCATGCCGCTATTTAAAAACCTGGTCTTGATTCTTCACTAGTTTTTCAAGAGATAGATAAACTCTATCCTTTCTGTAGCCTTGACTTTGAGAAATCCATTGGTTTACATGTTCTATCATGGTAAAAGGATTGATCCTTTGTACCTTAAAAGTTGTAGGTAACGGCGATTTTGATTCCAACGGTTCTGAAACATACCAACAGTTAGAAACGGCTTGTAACTCATTCTAACATATATATATATATATAAACAAGTTCAAGACACTTGAAGCAGGTTACCAACACATATCCAAACAATCAAACATAAGAGAAAAATTTTTCAATCCTTATTTTATTTCTCTTGTAAATATTTGTGTTCATAGCTCAATTGTATATCCTTAGGTTTTGTTTTCGTGAGCTAAATCTTTGTAAACTCCTACCTAGAGAGGTCTTCTTGTTTACACATTTCTTATCCTTTCTTAAGGGGTTTTGGTTCTAGTTTAGCCAAGTGAAAAATTGGGAAGTTGTAAAGGTTACTCTTGATCATTGAAAAAGAAAGAACAAATTAATAGATTTGTTGGAAAATCTTAAGTGAGAAGCTTAGGTAGTGGATGTAGGTTTCATTGAGGAAGTTGAACCACTATAAATTATTGTGCAAATTGTCTATCATTTCTCTCCTTACTCCCTAAATTTTCAAAAAACCAATTACCACCTCTTGGCATATTTCGGTTGATCGATCGAGCTTCATAAATCCTAACAACCAAATACACTTAATTAAAAAAACTGATGACTAAAATCGATCAGACCGAAAACAAAGGGGACTATTGACATAGTTTACCCTTATAAAATAAGTAATTAAATTATAGCGCTTTTCGTGAAGAGATTTCTAAACTATTTTTTTTAATGTTCTTGGTGCTTAAGGTTATAAAAGTCATTACTTTATGTGCTTGATCCATCAACGATATTAATTTCCTCTGTTATGTGACACGTGTCACAATCTACTAATTTTAAAAGTTTTATATACAATTAAAAAATAAAATTATTTTAAAAACATAAATTTTTTGAAATAAAACCAAAACTTTAAAAACCTTCATTTCAACCCCTAAACTCACGTCAAGCGTTGTCCTTTGTCGTCGAAGAAGCTCCACCCGACCTCACCTCCCCCACGACCAAAACCCTTATAAAATCGTGATCGATCGACGTTTAATACCCTGTGAACCCTAGGGTGAAAATTATAATCCCACGTGATTCCGACGACCAATTGACGGCAACTACGGCGACGTATAACTAGGAGTATGACAATGACTATGTCGGCAATGATGATCTTGACCGAAAAAGAAGACGACAGTGGGTTAGGGTTTTGGGATTTTATGGTTTTTTTATAATTTAAGAGAAATTAGGGTTTTTTAAATATAATAATAATTCTAATATTTTTTTAAAAAATTTAAAATTAACGTCGTTGACCGCCCTAGCACCCAGAAGGAAGAGATTGAAGAAGCATTCAGGTGAAATAATCCATCTACCTTGCTTGTTTTTATTACAATAAACAGAAACCACTTTGCCGATTTGTCGATTTAGTGTTATCGTGAAATAAGTATTTAGTATTGTTTTACTTTTTCAGTTAGAATAAATTATTATCAGTTGAAGAAGAAGAAGAATGTGAAAATCACCTGTGGGTTTTTTTTTTATGAATTTTTTAATTTTTAATTACTACGTTATATTTTTATTAATGAGTTAAATAAATTAAAAATCAATGATTAAAATTGATCAGAGAAAAAAACAAAGGAACTTATGGAAGTTTGCCCATTTTATAATTAAGCCTTAAAATAAAGAAATTCTTAGGGTTTTTTTTTTCTGTTTCTTCTTTCCAAGTCTCCACCTTTTATCCTCTAGAATTCATCAAAAAGGAAGAAAATCAAACGGAAGAACAAAAGAAAAGATGTCTGATTATTTGCCTGTAGAAGTTATCATCGATGTCCTCAAATGGCTCCCAGTAGAGTTCCTGGTGAAATTCAGGTCAGTTTGCAAGACTTGGAACCGTCTCTTTTGCGACCCATCGTTCGTTTCAGCTCATTATCAAGCTTCCCTTTCGAGGCCACCCAACAACACACCCTTACTCCTCATCAGGTCCTCCAAAAACATCGAAGATTACTATTTTTTAAACTATGATAATGATGGGTTTGATGAGTTCAAGCAGTTTCCATTCCATGTCTTTCAGCGTGTGTCCCATTTTATGGATGTTGGTTCTTGCAATGGGTTGATTTGTCTTTTATCATGGAACCGTGATGTTATGAATTTTGTTTTGTGGAACCCTTCGATTCAAAAGTACGTTTCTTTGCCCCCGCCTATTATTGTCTTTGGTCAGCGTTCAAAATTTGGGCTTGGCTTTGATTCGAGAACCAATGATTACAAACTACTTATCGTTGGGGTTGAAAAAGATGGTAATTTGATTCAACCTTGTTTGTTTTCCGTGAATGAAAATTGTTGGAGAAGGGTTGCTGCCATTGCTCCCAATTATGAGGTTGAAGGTTGTATTTCACCGGCTTTCGTTAAGGGGGCTTTCCATTGGTTAGGATATCACGAGAGAAACGATGGTGCATTCAGTAATAAGATTTTGGGGTTTGATTTTAGTGCTGAGGAGTTTTTTGAGATAAATTTGCCTGAGAGCTTAATTGGTTTGTGTCCTTCGGATTTGTCAATTATGAACTATGGAGAATCTTCCATTGCAGTGCTTTTTAGGGTAAATTTTGAGTCGAATGAATGTTGGATGATGAAGGAATACGGTGTGGTTGAGTCATGGACTAAGGTGTTTGTATTCCAAACGTTTAGGGGATGGTATCCACCAACACTGGCGTTTCGTAACAATGGGGAAGTTATATTGCGAGTGGGTTTTGGAGAGATCGCTTTACACGATTTGAACTGTCAGGCAATCGAGCCTCGTGGAGTTAAGATCGGGGATTTCCTTCTATCTGTTAGTAATTACGTTGAGAGCCTGGCGTTGCTCGACAAAGGGGTCGATGTCCGCAGTTTTAGCGATTATGCTATAGATTCAAGTGGTTATTTATTTTTAAAAAATGCATAACTCTCCTTACGGACTGGTAAGTGCATAACTAAGAGCGGTTCTGATGGGGGAAAGTGAAGCGACATGGAACAGGTAATCACATTCACTTATTTTTTTCACAGCAGTCTAATTTTTGTAGTTTATGTGGACTTGTATAAGCATAACTCTCCTTGTGTTAGGGTAATTGAATAAATACCTTGATGAGTGCTAATGTAAATTAACACCCCCAATCCCATATCGGGAAATTGTAAGAATGCACTAGGATACATGTGTAGAAACAACGGGAACTCAAATCGTTGGATCTGCTTGTTCTAATTTCTTAGTCAGAGGTTATAGGGAAACTTTTTGATATTTTCATGTGAACCCTTTTGAGCATATCTGCTTGATATGTACCTTTTATTACATACATTAAAATCTGCCATTGATCTATAATGTACTCTTTAAGATCGACTTTTTCATTTTCATTCCCTGAATGAAAATTGTTGGAGAAGGGTTGCTGCTATTACTCCCAATTATGAGGTTGAAAATTGTAATTCACCAGCTTTCGTTAAGCCCCGTTTTCATTGTTTAGGCTATCATGAGAGAAACGATGGTGCATTTAGTAGTATGATTTTAGGGTTTTATTTTAGTGCTGAGGAATTTTTCAGATAAATTTGCCTGAGAGCTTAATTGGTTTGTGTCCTTCGGATTTGTCAATTATGAACTATGTGGAAGCTTCCACTGCAGTGCTTAATAGAGTTGATGATACGTTGAATGAATGCTGGGTGATGAAGGAGTACGATGTGGTTGAGTCATGGACTAAGGTGTTTGCATTCCATATGTTTAATGGATGGTATCCGATTGTATTGGTGTTTAGGAACAATGGGGAAGTTTTATTGCAAGTGAGTAATGAAGAGATGGCTTCACACGATATGAACTGTCAGCTAATTGAGCGTCATGGAGTTAAGATCGGGCAATCGTTTCTATCTTTCAGTAATTATGTTGAGAGCCTGGCATTGCTTGACAAAGGGGTCGATGTCAGCAGTTTCATCGCTATTATCCTATAGATTCAAGTGGTTCCTTAGTTTTAAAAAACTCATAACTCTCCTTATGGATCGTTAAGTGCATAAGAGTGGTTCTGATGGGGGAGAGTGAAGCGAGATGGGACAGGTTATCGCATTCACCTGTTATTTTCAGAGCTGTCTAATTTTCGTAGTTTATATGAACTTGTACAAGCATAACTCTCCTTATGTTAGCTTAATCGAATAAATACCTTGATGAGTGCTACTGTAGATTAACACCCCTAATCCCATACTGGGAAATTGTAGGAATGCGCTTGAATACATGTGTAGAAACAACGGAAACTCAAATCGTTGGATCTACTTGTTCTAACGTCTTATTCTGAGGTTATAGGGAAAACTTTTTGATATTTTCATGTGAACCTTGAGCATATCTTCTTGATATGTACCTTTTATTACATATATTAAAGTCTGCAGTCGGTCTATAATGCACTCTTAAAGATCAATTTGCCTTTCTCTGCTTAAGTTGAAATGCTTTTTCTCTACACACTTATGAGCTCACATGGCACATGTAAGCATGCTTATATATACAACTATGGCATTTCTGTACTTTGAAGACCAAAATTATAATCCCCTTGTTTGTTTCATGGCAAGGGGCCATTGTGCTTGTGCTTTCATGTTAGTCGTAAACCAATAAGTTATGTTTATTTCCGAATGCTAATTCCTGCAATGCTATCTCCTCATCGTTATTTCAATGACACTTTTTTTCTTGAATTCTTGCAGGACCCCAAGGAACCACTAAAATATATGGGCCATTGGAGAATATGTCTGCCTAACTGCCTTTTTCGTTGAGGAGAAGAGCTTCCATCTAGTCTTTTTCTTTGTCGTGTACTGCATTTTTTTTGCATGTTTAGTTAGAATAGACTCCCGGGTGTACCGAGTCACCCTGATGTAGTTTTCATATTAACATCTATTTGAGTTACACATATGGTCTTGCCAATCTTGAACAGCCTCTTTAAAGAACTTTTAGCGTATAAATTAGAGAGGAAACCAAATATTTGGTTGTTTTTCTTCTTCTTCTTCCTTTCGGTACAAAGAAGACCTTGTAGGTTGGATGGATTATGGAAGATACCACCATGTAAAGGTGATTGCGTGAACCGCCAAGCTAAGCCTTCGGTTCTGGCGTAATATTTTAACTGAGTTGATGGAGAATATGTCGTATCTGAAGACTTCACATAATATTGGCTAGATGCTTTCAGTGCATGCAGGGCTTGATAACCAGTAGCGATGACAAGTCGTAAAACGATGCTGCTTTACTCTGGCCATTATGTTTTAAGCTTTGATGCTTGAATTCAAAGAATGTGCACCATGACCGCTTATGATGTTTTGGTGCTTTGTTTCGGAACTGTTTGAGGATTGAAGGAAATTGATAACCTTTTGCTTGCATGATTTTGTTGATCTTACATAAACTTTTGGTATTGAAGTTAGGTAGCTGATGTTGTTGATTTGACTGTAATATCGATAAGGTATTATCTGGCGTCGGAGTTGAATATCGTCACGGTTGTCCTCGGAGAATAAAAGAAAAACCAGGGAAAATTAATCCTGCTTTGTGCGGTTAATCTCCTGCATCTTTACAAACCTTAAACACTTGAGTACATTAAACACATAGCATGCTTTAAACAACAAATTGAATCAACACCCATACTTTGTTTAATCTTGTTTTTTCCATGGATGTTCCCACGAAGTTGACTCATAAAAATAAAGTCAGTTGCTTTCATTTCTGAATCAACCACAAACAAGTTGAATCAACACCCACACTTTTAATCTTGTTTTTTCCATGGATGTTCCCACGAAGTTGACTCATAAAAATAAAGACAGTTCCTTTCATTTCTGAAGCTTCCATGGCACCTTCATTCTTTCCACCTGACTTTTCCTCCGGCTTTCCCTTATCAGAAAATATTTAACCCCTTTTCATGGTCGTTTTTTTCTTCACAGCCAAACAGAGTGATCATGTAACTTCAATTCCCAATTCTCTGTTCCTCTTTTTATTTCGTATAAATCCTGAGAAAAATCCATGCTTGTTCATCAAATGTTTCTCTATTATTGCTCCCTATCTTTCCTTAGACCTTGTTCATAAATCGATGAGTAATTCCCATTTTGTTGCAGGTTGCCGGATATCATCTCAAGGAACAGGCACTCATCTTTATTTTTATCCAAAATCGGTCCATTTTCTCGAGATGAGCTCAGCTATAAAAGGTTTCATGTAAGTGGAAGTTTAGAGTTTGGATGTTGAAAATTATGGATTTCTTGATTTTGCAGAATTATGGTTTCATCTATTTACGTTATCGACTTATAAATAATCATCATTATCCTAAGTTTGACACCGATATCGAAGCTATGTGTATAAATCATCTTCCCTAGGTACTGGTGTTAATGCAGGGAATTAGCTGAGCAAGTAGGGAATATTTTTGAGGTTGGGAATACTACATGGGGTTTAATTGGAAACCGCTGGAAATTGCCTGGAGGCATTGATCGGAATGTGGATAATCTGAAGCGAAAAAGAGATAGATTGAATGGTCAGAAAGACGATACGACGTCGAGAATCAAGGCGGAGCTGCGTCCAAGAGAGAGAGTCAAGAAAGAAGTCGAGTTGTGGCTCGAAAACGTCGATAGAATAGACGGCGAAATATCGAACCTCGAATCCAAAGTCGGAGCCAGCGGCTTTTTCTCCCTTGGATTTCTTGTGAAGGATGTTTGTAAGAAGGAAGAAGAGGTTGACGAATTGATTGAGAAGGGTGGATTTTCTGATGCATTGGTCGTCGATGATTGTTCACGGATCGGTCACGTGTTGCCGGCACCGAGTTTAGTCGTCGAATCGATAAGACGTAAAAGGGATGAGATTCTGAGATACCTTCGAACTAACGATGATTTTCGGAAGATTGGAGTTTATGGAATGCCAGGAGTTGGTAAAACAAGTGTTGTCAAGCTTGTTAACAATGAACTCTTAAAAGATCGAATGGGGTTCGATACCGTGGTATGGGTCACCGTATCGATGAACTGTTGTGTTATCGAACTGCAGGACAAGATTACAGGGGCAATGAATATCATTATTCTAGAAGACAAAGACGAAACATTACGAGCAGGGATGCTGTCCGAAATCTTGCGCGACAAGGATAAATTCGCTTTAATCTTCGATGATGTACGGGATAGATTCTCCCTGGAAAAAGTTGGGATTCCTGAGCCCTCTGCAGATAACGGTAGTAAAATCGTGCTAACAACTCGATCACTCGATGTATGTCGACGAATGGATTGTCGAGTAACAAAACTGGAACCACTCCCTGAAGTAGACACATGGACATTGTTCTCAGACAAGATCGGTCGAGACCTAACGAGCTCCGCGGATTTGTTTCCGGTTGCAAGATCGATCGTGGAGCGCTGCGCCGGTTTGCCATTGGTAATAGTCACAGTAGCCAGTACCATGAGAGGTGAATACAGTCTTCCTATATGGAGGAACGCATTGGCGGAACTGAACTGGAACATACAGGGGATTACAGATGTTAAGAACACGATATATCGGCAACTGAGGTTCAGCTACGATCGTTTGAACGATCCGAGAATCCGGAACTGTTTGCCGAGTTGTGCATCGTACGGTGAAGATTCGGGAATCCGGAAGGATCGGCTCGTAAGGGATTGGATTGGAAAGGGATTAATAGATGATACGGATGAGGGACAGGCTATAGTAAGAACTCTTGTTGATAATTGCTTGTTGGAAAATGTAGGAAATGAAAGACTTCAAATGCATGATATTGTAAGAGAGATGGCTCAACTTATCAACCGTGAGCTCTATGAATCATGAATTGACATTTCAACTGTAATCAGGAACGGACGTAGAAATTTTATATCGAGAATACAAATTTTCAATAAATTTTTTATATATATATAAAGAGTTCCAAAAGACTTGATGGAGTCTTTATTTTTCCTATGAGACCTCTCAAACATTATTAGTTCATCTCAGATAGAACACATAACAGTTCCCACTCATGGCTGACTATGATCTGTACCTAATGGTGCACTAGCTATGTTCACGGATTCTTTCATCGAATCGGCAGTTCCGACCCCAGGTGGTCTGCGGTTGCATTCCAGTTCAGTGTTCTGAAGGCCCTTACAATCGCTCAGATAGCATATGAATACAGCGTCTCCGACGTCGGTATCTTTCCATCCGGAAACGCATGCCGGGAGACATCCCGGACCACATATCAGCTCATTTGGTGGTGTTAGCGACACCATCGACATCATTTGGGGCCTTTGGCCCGGTATAATGAAACCGGGAGCGCACCCCGGAGAACATTCCGGGACCGTGATGTTTCCGGGATCACCTGGTCCTTCCTCCATAGGGGGCTCAGGGTTAGCAATAACAGGTTCATCAGTGGCCTGAACCATGTGGAACCTAGTGGCCCAACCGGACCCCCAAGGATATGAAGACTGAGAAAATTATGCATGCAGATTTTAGATTTGGGACCATTTTGCCAACTTTGTATATGTTATTCCACACTTTGATCAAATGAGATCTCCATTGCCTTTTATAGAATAAAAGGAGTGCCGATGGAAGAGAGAAGCCATCAATCCATGTATTCATATGGTAAATATTATTTGCATGTACTATGATATTAAAATATTTTATACATAACATTAAAATTCACTCTTAGTATTTAACATTTTAGTAATTTATTAATTAACAGTCAATAATTTATTACTATCTTAATATTTTATATACATTTAACTATTGACAATATATATAACCTCATCATCTAAGTACACGTGACATATATTTTATCAACACTTAAACACTAATGACATATATCACTTCGGTACTTAAGTACACGTTAAGTAGGGATGTCATTCGGGGTAGGTTTCATGGAGAATCGACTCGTGCACTCAATTGGGTGTGTAATACCTCAAATTTTGGTTATTAACCTAAACGTAAATTTTGAAAGGTTAGTGGCCAAAGTATAAAGTTTGGAAAAGTTCAGGGACCAAAGTGATAATTTTCCAAAAAAAGAAATTTTATTCCATAAATGAATAAATTATCCCCAAGATTGATGTTTTCATGGGAATCAGAATTTCAGTATAGGATTTGTATTAAAAACTATAAGGCAGTAAAGTTCGGTATAGAATTGGATAATCGGATTGAATCGAAATTTTTTGAAATTTTTAGGGATGATAGATCAAGGTTGGAAATATTATTTCCAAATTTTATAACAGTGATATTTAATGTGGATCAATGGAATTGAAGTCGATTTTTCATATTTAGCTGAAATTGGAAAATTTAGTGACTAAATTGCAGTTTATGAAAATTTGCAAGGTGGAAAATGGATTTTTATTTGTTCATATTTGACTTTGAAGATGATATAGATAAGATGGTGTCATGGATGATGTTATAGAAAATTAAGACAAGTGTATATGTTAATCATGAAGAGAAAACAAGAATTTTCATCCCCTCTTCATGCTCAATTCATGCACCCCATAGCAAGGTAAGGAGAAATTTTGATTTTATTTTTAAGCTTATTCGATTGATTTTTGGATTTAGTTATTAGAAAGAGAATAAATCCTATTGAAATTCTCTATCATTTGGTATAAACATTATATGGAAATCATGATTATATAATGAGATTGGAGATTAGGGTTTATGAAGGACATGTTTGATTTTGAAGATTTGATGGAAGGTTATTATGTTTTTGATGTTATAGATTATTTCTAAAGCACGTGTGATGATTAAAACACTTGAAATCAAACTTAATGATGTTTGACCTAGGGAATTGTTTCATAATTTCCCCCCAATTATTTCATTGAGATCGACTGTTCTAGGGTTTAGAGTTCTTGATTTTCACTTGATTCAAGCATGAAATAAACATCTATTCAACATTTCAAAACCTCTATAATCAAACCCCTAACTTAATTTAACCAAATCACAAATTCTTCAAAACCCTAGGTTAAGGTCAAATGATGGGTGACCTATTTGGTAATTATGGAAAATTATGGGTTTGATATGTAATTGTTCAATAATTGTTGTTCTATGCTGGAATTTAATGTTAGAGTGATGAATTTGATGTTAGAATGTGAAATTGGACTATTTTAGGAAGTCGACAAAGTTTGAGTACTAAATGGAAAATATTGAGAAAGTTAGCAATTTAAGTGGTAATAGTGGTGTTGTTGAGGTATTGGGCTGGAAATTAGATGCTGGAAATTTAATTAAGTTTTTTGAGATTTGAATTGAAGTTAAAGGACAAAGGACTATTTAGAATAAAATGGAAAAGTTGAGATGAATTCGAAAAGAATTCATAATTAGTGGTCAAAATGTGAAGTTTGAAAATATTGTGTGCCTTAGTGATGAATATGGATAAAAAAGAGAAATTAATATTGAATGAGTATCGAAAGATTTTTAGGAATTTATTTATCTATTGTGTATCTATGTTATTAAGATTCTAACATGTGGTTTGAAATGAATATGTTTTGTAAATGGTGTCCATTTAGATTATGATTGAAATTAAGATCAAGCAATACAAAAGCTAAGGAGAAGCTTAACGATAAATGTGTATTACTATGGAAGGTTTACAAGCTAAGGACATCAGGTGAGTGCATTTAATTTGTATTTATGTTATCGAATAAACATTTGCTTGTGATAAAACAGTGACTGAGTTATTATGGTACGAAGTGACTCATAATGTTATGTGAATTGTGATTCAATCATATATGTTCATTTGGTATGCTAATAGAATTAGTACATAAGTTAATGATGCAAATTGGTGAAATATGTATATACTTATGACTTGAACGGTAAGTTTAGAAAATCACTGTGAATTCTACATAAATGATTAGTGGGTGAATCTAATGTGTTGGATTTTTATATTAGTCCAGTTCCGTTTAAAACAAGTGGCTACTGATTTCGAGGAGCATACAAAAAGATATTAATTTTTAATCGATGATAGAACAGAAAATAAGGTAACAAATTCTGCTCAAAACAGCTTCTGTAAGTCATATTTAAAACTTCGCTATAAATTGTACATATGGAATTAGAAGAAGTTCCTTATATTGTTAGATTCGTATGTGAGTCTAGTTTACATTGGTATAAACAGAATAATTTTTAAGTGTGTATATTAATACAAAATAATATTTCTTTGAAGATAGTGCAAACTGCCAGAATATGAAATTACGATAAATTTTGTGATAGAAGCGAATCGAAAGCAAAGAATTAAGCTTAAAGCTTAGCGAGACTTGTATATAAAGTATTAATGTGAGTGTAGTTATTTATTTCATTGTTTTGATCAAAAAAGACTTGTGATAAGTCAACCTCATTATAGTTATTTTAAAGTATAATTTCTAAATTATTTATGGAATATTTCTATAATGTTTATACAAATATTTTATGGATGATTTAGGGTATAAACTGCCCACGTTCTGTTTTGACGATGATAAAGTAAAAATGATTCTTAATTTAAAATATTGATTATGAAACGAATAAGATATGATCTGAAAGCCCATTGTATGTTGCATTGAGAGTTGTAGGTAAATTGGCATACCATGAGGTAGAGTGGTTATGATTATGATCTAATACATTTGTGTGCATTATGTGTAGCACTGTTGGTGCAAATGATATGAATGCACTTGGAGTGCATATTCTGATTACGATAATAGCATTGAAGTGCTTATTGCGCACACTCGTCTGACTCACGTACCTTTCATTCTCTTACATATACATTGGGCTATGAAAGTAAATGTGAAAATTATTACAATTATAATGAAAGAAAAGAATATGGGAATGAAATTAAAGTTTTGAGATATGTATGAATGAAAAGAATAAGAATTGTTCGTTACATTTAATGTCGACTTACATGATTTCTGATAAAATCATGAGATAATAATTTTCAAGTTTTCAAAAGAAAAACGGCTTGAATAGCTCGGTTTAAAAGTTTTAGTGATTTTTCTTTAAATTACATTTCTTTTTATGTCAATAATTTTTGGCATTTCATGCTTTATTTTACCTTAACTATAATACTGTCTCACCAAGTTTTACTTAGCGCGTGATGATTTTCATTAGTAGGCTTGAATAAAGAAAAGGACGTGAAGTAAGGACCTTTTCGAGCGTCTTTGGAAATCAAACCTAGAGATAGTATTAACAAGAAATTTTCATGGCCATGCCATGGCGGCCATTTATATATACAGGAAAGGCTTCAAAAGATTTAGGCAGCAAGAAACTAGAAATGGAAATGGTAATGATAATGTGAGAAAAACACTATCGTATCAAGGATTCATGAAATCTATGGAAGTTATACAGCAAAAGTAAGATCATTGAGTGAGTCTCTGCATCTCATTCTGGTCGCCGAGCGTTTCGATGAGAAGCGGAGGTGCGTATTGGGCGGTGCCTTGGTGCTCCTCTGAATCCTGGCAGAACGAAAGAATGATGGTGTCGATCGACATCTCCACCACGGCGAAGAAGAGAGTTGCTACAACGTAACCGAGAGCCCAACATATCTGCAACATAATGTAAGCAAGGGTTTTCAAGTATTCCGTGTGTTCAGACATGCATTCAACATGAGTGTCGGACAGAAGTACTTCGAGAAAAACGATGAATCGAAGGAACATTGGTTTTCAGTGAACAGTGAATTGTCATCATCGAAAATTAGAGCTTGATATGTTTGCTTGCTCATGGTGCACGGCAATTATAAATTTCGACCTCTCACCTATATAAAGATTTGCTATAATGAGTCGATAACGTACCAGGACCGGAAGCAATGGGGAGGATATTTTGTCATGAGCAGCTCGGTACTTGTGGGTATCCAGCATTAGGAATCCGAAAACTGCACTTGAAAGGCTGACACACAACTTTCCAAGAAATAGAATAACATCTCCGATCACGTTCACCTTCCCTATCCGAAGGATGTTATTCATGATCAATTCCGTTGCGATTTCAGATGCCTTAAAGAAGCTTTTCCCCGTTACGGCAATCTGCAAGAACACTAGGTTAAGATGAAGTTCGGGATAGGCGAAAATGAAAAAATGAAACAACTAGTTGCATGTGATAGTTGGACTTATTACATTCTTCATTGCGTGAAAAAAAAAAGGAGAGAGATCGCTACTATGTTACAAGAGAGTAAGTATCGAATATGAATATGCGCTCGAGAAGATTACCATTATATAAGCATTACGATTCACCGATTTGATGGTCCACTCGACACAGCTCAAACATCTCCGTGAAGTATGATTTCCCATCCTTCCAAACCAACCATCAGATGTACCAGAAACTTTGGGTTTACGACGAATGGACTCAAGAATGAAACGAATTGATTCCACAAAGGATACAACCAATGAGCCAAGGGAGACAGACCCAAGGTTGTATCGTATAAGCCGCTTCATAGAGGCAAAAACGGGAAGAAATAGGATCTCTGGCTGCAAGAATGAACCTCAGAACTAATCAACCCAAGAACAAATCACTGGAATAAATTCATTAAAAAAAAATCTTATGTAATGTAACGTGCTAATTTTGTTAATATAATATGAACAAGAAAATATACATATGTAAACTAATATTTCAATCTCACATAAGTTGTACAACGACAGTTTTAAGAACTTCAGCGTATCGTTTTGCTCGGTTTGAGAGACCCTTATGATTTGCATTGTAATTGTTTACAATCGTGCCCATAGAATTTTGAATATGGTAGAAAGATAATTGTTTGTTCCCCATGAAAACAGCATGCATACCAATAAAACTATACAGTGGCTCAGTAGCTTACCGACGTTTCACCACGAGCCCAATAGTAAGAAGCAACAGAACCCGCAATCACGGTCGAAGAACACGCTATAAAAAATTGTGTAGCCCAATAACCCCCTAACAGGTGGAAGAAGATGGCAATGGCAATATGAGGAGTGTAATGGATGCTATAGCCACAGCAATCATCACAATTCACCTTTTTCGCCACAAGATCATAAGCACAACAGTTGGCATTACAGTTGTTCTTGACAACCTGACCGGAACTAAACAGATGAAGGGCAGCCGATATCCAGAACATATAAAAAATCGCAAGAACTGCATACGGTATGACTGGAAAAATTATCAGTGCTTGAACTTCGCCTATGACTTTTGCAGCAACCTGCATAGAGTCGGGAGCACACTATTATCAGCTGTTTCTGATATATGAAACCAAAATCACCATTATAACAAATATATATTTCGAAAACGTGAGACGGGCTAAGCAATGAATCGTTTATACACTCCCACATGCAAAAATGCACTATTTTTCCTTTTCCTTTCTTTTCAAGCCGAGTTGAAAGTGCCCCACAGTATTAGTTTTAATGAAAGTTTATACTTCTCAGTACACATAAGATCATACTTGCCTTGAGAACTGATGTTGCCATTATAATGCGGCGGATAATTGCAATTGACGTTAGGACGGAAACAACCATAACAAATGTCATTAGAATGGCAACAGCGCGTAGATGATTTAGTTCCTGAAAGAAACAAACATTTATTTAATTTAATATGTAAATAGAACCAAAAGACCTGCTACGATAAAAGCTTCTGAACAACAGGAAAAAAGAATAAACAACGCACCCTTCCGAAAACATTTATATATGGATCATGCTCACCAATGATAGGGGAGATGGCATCGTTCTCTATCCATCCGACTAAAAAGCAAGAAGAATAAGATAAATTTAGTAGTTATCCTTGCATTCAAATACATACAAGACAACAATTAGATTATTCCTAGTATTAATCCCAAATATACAGTATCGAGCAAAGTAAGAGGTATATACGAGGCATACTTCTAACCTTTTAAGTAGTAAAACATTGTAACGGTTATTATGAGAATGTTGACGAGAGCAACAGTGATCCAAGGCATAGCTGCAACAAAATGGCGAATCATTAACAGCCATATGACCGACAGAAATAGCGGTAAGAGTCCTCCACAAACTATCAACACCGGCCATGACTTTCCAATATCAGCCATGTAACGCTGCAATAAGACATTCGTATTTCAGAAAATTTGATAATGGCACTTTTCAAAACAACATGATTAATAAACTGTACCGCATAATAAGTATTAAATAAGGAATCACATTGTCAATTATTTTGCCAACAACCAAGGAAAGGTATTGCAGGAAAGTTGCTAGACCTTTAAGACAGACGACCGAGAATTGATGGACCTATGAATTGATTTATCTATTACGATATCCTCGTTGATATTCACTCCACCCATCTGTTGCCAGTGTCGCAAGGATGTGTTTGATGCACGAGCAATGAATTGGCAGCTCCAATGAACTTGAAAACATGCATAAAATAATTCACGAGATGATAAAAGAAACTGCACCTATGAGGCTATGATTGTATAAAATAAATACTAAACTATAACACAAGCGTTCCAGTTTAACTACCATTCACACTCGGAAATATAACAGGGTAACATGGACCCTGAAGTTGAAGTGAAGTATTTCGCATTTCTGGTGTAAGAAATTCATAATAATCATAATATCTATTGATCCAGTCGCGCATTGAGAGGCGGATATCCCCCTCCGGATAATCACAGACCCAATTAAGTGAATCTTCAGACGGAATAGGGCAATCCCATAAGCATATACTCCGAGCATTAGACAACTTGAATTGACTGTCCTTAACACCACTTTGATAAACCTGATTTGGATTCAACCAATACTTGATTTCCAGCTTACGAAGGCCGGGATGAGCATGTCTGTCACCACATACATTCCCTTTGTAGTCCAGACCATATGTAAGCCTGACATGCCGCCATAAAACATCAGCAATCTTCACAGGTTCCAAGGTGAAAAAGTGTTTCCAAAATGTAAATTAATAGATCCATAACTGACTCTAACATCAATTCCAGATGAATGTATACTAAAACTGAACCATACAAGTATGAGAAAGTGTCACAGGCTTAGTTAAGTGCTTAAAACTCTCATTTTTAGTCCTCTTTTACGACTAGATCAACCCACTGATCCCTATTAAGTAACAAGACAATTTTAAAGAAAATTTCTCAAGTATCTACGTTTTATGTTCAGAAAATCACACGAGGATAAACAAAACATACCATAAAAAAAGTGATTTAACATTAGAATCCAAAACAAAACATACCCATTTTTATATTCAACAAGAAGATAAGAGGGTAAATCTTATAAAAAGAAATTAAATAAAGAATAAGAAAAAAAAGAAGATTTACCTTAATGGGTTTCCTTGGTTAAACCCAAAGCTAGAGTTAACAATCATAGCAACCCAAAATGCTATAAAAATGACAAGAAAAGCAACATCTCTACACTTCCTATTGTGCTTAATGATCCCTCCACGCTCTGTAGTTCCATCACTTGATGGATATCTTCCTATTACTGCCCCCAAAGGACCCCTCATTTCTTCTTCTTTCTTCCCTTAGAATTAAGCAAGGATTTTAGAATGTGAAAAGAAAAGGAAGAGAACTTGCAGACGGGCAGAGCGGAAAAAGGGGGGCTGTTGGAGAGTGAAGTGAAGAAGCTTAGGAAGCGTGAAAGTGGAGAAAGAAAGGTTTTTAGATTTGGAATTTTTTTTAGTGTGTTTTATTTTTTCATTTTTAGACAAAGATTTGCTACTTAAAAAAAACATTAAGCATCAATGTCCGGTCGTGGCTTAGATCTGAACAGTTGTGTTGGCTTAGCTTGATAACTTTTTATATTTTTAAATAAAAAATCTGAACTTTTGAAATTAACTTGATTTAACCAAGTTTAATTAAGTAAAATCATTAATTATGGATCTGTACATATATTAATTAAACCATTTGTTTAAACATCCTTTTCCTTTTTGGTCTTGACATATTCCCTCCTCTTGGGAACCGTTGATATTCTGAGAAAGTGTTTTTGGTTCGAATTTCAAGGTCTATCCAACGGTCGAGAAACATTACAAATTTGCTTTTTTTTCTTTTCTTTGTGGATTGTGGGGGCTGAATGGAGGACTTTGACAAAATTTTCTCATTCGTCTGCTGGTCAATTTTGCTGGAGAAAACTTTACCTTCGGCTTGGGTTCCGGGTAAAAAAGCGTTGTCAAAATCTGTTCATTTACACAAATTGAAGAAGATGACAATAATGGTGATGATAGGTCCTATGGAGAAGAAGACGAAGAAGAAGATGAAGAAAGGGTTGGATTTTAAGCTCACTGAGCTAAGTGCATGTTTGGTTATCTCACTCTACTATAAGTACCAGCATTCGGTGGCTGAGACACACCTCGATAACGTGAACACGTGCTCATTTTAAAATTTAAAATTTTTCGATTAATTATTTATTTTATTGAAATATTTTTTATAAAAAAAATCATATCATCCCTGAAATTTGAATTTTCTTCAATTAATTATTTATTTCACGAACGATACTCATCTTAAAATTTTCTTTGTACTCATCCCATCTAAAATTTTTATGTTGTTGAAATATGTGTATTCATCCTGAAAAATATTTATGCACCCGTCATTAACTAAATTAACCTAATATTTTTTAATTCAAACTTTGAAGTGATGTTCTTGCTAGAATTGGCACCTTCCTGTTAGGGCAGCCATTGATAATCCGGATATGGAGCGATAATTGAACTTCGTCCATAAACATGATCACAAAGGTCTTAGTCGGTAAGGATTTGTAAATTCGGATATCAGATTTAATTTAATCTAAAAGTTTGAATATCTGAAAATTTTAGAATCTCATCGTTAAAAACTTTAGTTTTGTTTTATTTTAGTGCTCATTTAAAATTTAACGTTAAGTTTTGAAAAACTGAAAGTTCATATACTAAAACGGGCCAAAATTAATGGTTTAGATACTAAACGTGTTAAGTTTTTAACGGTGAGGTACCAAAATAAAACAAAACTAAACGTTCGGTATGCTTTTAAAAAAATTAAAAGTTTAAGCACTAAAACTAACCAAAATTAATAGTTTAAGTATTAAATTTTTAGTTCACCCTAATTTTTATTAGTTTAGAGCTTTAATGAGTTGGTCAATCATTTATTGGACTAAAGTGTATATATAAAATCTAAAACCTATTTTTTGGATTTTCAGATAATTCAAAATTAGAATTTATCCCATCTGTATACAATCCAATTATATGAACTTTTTTCAAATATTTTATCTAAATTATATAAAAAATAAATCAAATATTCAAATTTTTAGAACAAACCACTGTGCTGACACCATTTTCGCCCAGACCATTATTATTATTATTTAATATATATATATATACATATTCCAAAAGCAAAAAAAAGACAAAAAAAATAGAAAAGTTGCCACTGCTTTTCCCCTCTGTTGCACGCCCTTGTGGTTGCCCGACACCAAACACGCTCAACGACTGAACTGTCGATCACTCCAAGCTGAGGACGCCACCAGCACTGACCGCGATCTCCGCCCATCGGCCTAAAAGACCACCTGCAATCAATACAAAAAGAGAGACGATGAGGAGAAAAAAATCGGGGTCTTCCTCCCTCATTCAAAAAAGGAACAACCATTGCAACAGATGAGGCTTCCCCCCATTTAAGCAAAACATACGATGTAATGGCCTCGAGGCCTCCCCTCATTTTTTTTAAACACTCGAAACATTGTAAAGGGGGGTATCTCTACTCGATTTTTTGGTCTTCTCTATGGAGAAATTATTTGTAACAAGAGGACCCTCCCATTCGAAAGCAATACAATAGGGATTCTCTCCCTTCGTTTTTCTCTGGAACAGAAGTAAAGCAAGCAATAAAACCCCTTTTTCGTATTTAAGGTATTTCTTTAGATCTATCTCGAACAAAAAGTCAGTAGCTATCTTTGACTTCTTTTTTCTGTGAAACCAATAAAACGAGGAGAGAGACAGAGAGATAGAGAGAGAGAGATTTACCTGAGCCATCCTTCGTCAGAGTTGGGAGTAGGAGCATCGAGAGTCGAGATATTTGCCTGTTTTAGGAATAGAATGGTTGTTCGTTTCAGAGACCTATGATTAGGTTTCGTGCAGGTCGATCGTCTCTAGTGGTGTTAGGAGTGAGAGCAACGCCGATTTACGATGATTTTTAAGGCGAGGGTTCTTCCAAAGGTCTCGGTCGAATGAGAAAATAAAGAAAGTAGAGGAGTTAGGATAAAATATGGATTAGTAGGTTTCGGGCTAGGCTTACCTCAACCTAGGGTCGTTAATTGGAGCGGAGAGTACACCATTAGACGGTGGCTTGTGTTTGTTGGTTGGGTCTGTTAGGCGGCCGCATGGTGAAGGGGAGATAGATTTGAGATAAAAGAACCATTTTTATAAATTAGGGTTTCTATCTGAAAAAAAGAGGAAATATTGATTTTATATTAAAGTTTAAGGGATAATTACGTTTAGCCCCTAATACTTCGACGTATTTTTACATTTAAGTCACTAATGCCTCTCTTATTTTTATTAATTTCTGATTTAGACTCATTGTTTTATTTTGTTCTGATTTGACCACTTCTTGATTTTTTGTCTATTTCGAATTAGGTTCTGTTTTTGTCACCTTGTTGCATTTAGGTCACTTATTTTTTTATTTTGAATTAGCTACTGTTTTTTATTTTCTTTTATTTTGGTCATTGTTTTTATTTATAATGTGCTCATTTTTTATTATTTTATTTTTATGCTTTATTGTTTACTATTATTTTAAACGTTAATACGACTTTGTGGTGACCCGTCCTAGGATACGATTCACATTATTATGGCCCAGGTAAATTCTAACTTCTAATTTCTAATTTCACAAATTTATTAACCGCTGACTACTAATTTTCTAATCGTTGATTTCTCTAATTTATTAACCCCCAACTCTAATTACATTTCTACCCTTTAATTTTTACCATTTATATTTTTGCACTTTAATTTCTTTTATTTACATTTTTTCCCTTTAAGTTTTGTTATTTACATTCATGCCTTTTAATTTATGTTTTTTTTTAATTTCAGCCTTATGTTTTTAATTCATTTCGATTCACTTCTTTTATATTTGTTGTTTGTCTTTAATTTTATTCATTTTCAATTTTCTTCAACTAGGTCCTTGAATTTTATTACTGACTTTAATCTAGTCCTTAGATCAATTATATTAATGATTAACCTTTTGTTCATTAGTTTGTTAAAATTTTACTCTATATTGTTGGTTTTAATTAAAATTGTATTTTTGATTTTAGCATACTTAGCGTTAAATATATTTCATTAGATCCGATTGTAAGCATCTTTGATGTAATATTACTTTGTGAGGGGAACCCATGAATTCATGCCTTAACTGGCTAGGAGTGTGCTTTCGAGGATTGCCCGTACTAAATGATATTCTTTTCTGGGTATAAATATTTTTTAGTGTGCTAAATACATGTTTGTTTAGAAAAAATAGGGTAACAACCTTTTGTATGGAAATCCATCAAAACGCGCCTTAACTGACAAGGAGTATATTTTTTAGAGTTGTCCATACGAAATAATTCCCTTTTCGAAATTTCTTCAAGAAGGATCATAATTTAAAATGTATATTCAAGTTTACCAATTTCAACATTCAGACGACGTATAATCGTTTAGGTACCGATTTCGGGCGTTGTGGGGTACTAATCATTCTTCACGCGCAATTGACTCTCGAACCCTTTTCAAAAAGAGTTTGTGGTTTAACACAAATCACTTTTTATCTTTTTAAATTATTTTTCTTAAAATTATTTTAAAAGATAAATTTAGGTATTCGACCTACCTAACCCAAAGGTCGATGGCGACTCCAAATTTTATTTGTTTATTTATTTATTTTAAAACCCAACCTTTTCCAAAATTAAGTTGGATCGCTTCCCACCATAGCCCTAAAAAGCTTAAAGACCGTTCCGACAGCTTAGCGACTCCGCTAGGGACATTAGAGAGTTAAACCATAATCGATTATACGTCATTTTTCTAGTTCAAAATGGTAAATTTGAATGATATTTTAATTTTGATCCTCATGTTTTGTTTGCATCACATCGTACATCTTTTATTTATTAGTTGTACTAACGTGCAATTTACATGTTTCAGATTTTAGACTTTTGTTTTAGTCTATTGGTTTTTAGATTGAGGCAAAGGATTGTGAGTTTCCCCACACTTTCTCTATAATCGTTCGAGTATTTAGAGTCTTCTAATTGTTATCTATCCCGTTAGGTAGGGGTGAACGTTACGCTTACGTGAGAAAAAATATTTTTCTCTGTTTGGGCTTTAGTAAGCAACATATGGGATGCATATGCCTCGTGTTTACGAGTGAAATATTGAGTTTCCTCGCATGGACATGGAAAAATGCATCCTCTCGAATTAAACTTGACCCGTTTAAGCCTATAATGTGTAAGGATCGAGGGTCTGGCAGGCCCATGGGGCACCAACAAAGGATAATTTGACTATTATAAAAGTATGTCAGGGTAGATACCATGGTGGGTAGGATCTTTTCTTTTTCGTAAATTTTTTTTATGCTTTTTTAGTTGAGTGGTAATAACAATTCCCTTTGTTTTATCTTATTTTTCTCTATCTTTTATTTGCATTTGCATTTTCACATCATAACCAGATCAGATGTTAATTCTCAAGTAATCAACCAAATTATAAGGTTTTCATATCGATAAGAGTTCCATAACTAAGTAGTCGAATCCGTAAGAGCGATGACTTGAAAACAAAGCTGAGCGACGAGAGAGGAGCTCAGAGTCGATCGACGAATCCTATTAAATGAACGAAGATTGAGATGGTACGAAATAGTCAGATACTAGTTGAGTCAAGAATGAGAGGATCCTTCACGAGATATCAATGCCGCTTTCCTCTTGGAGAATCCCATGAAGTTAGAGGTCTGAAGATACAACAATCATAATAGGTGAATTAAAATTAATATAGGCGGTGCAACATTTTGGTTAGTCCGAAAATGACTATAAAGACAACATCAGATCGTAATAAGTGCCTAGATTAAGGAAACGAAGAGGATGAAGCATATAAAATTTGACTATCTAATGTAAGGAGAACTTATGGTCTGATGAAGGTTGTTCTAGGGTGGTCGCTTTTGGAATTAACACCCTATGCATTTGCATTTGTGTTTTCATTCTTGTTTTGTATTAGCTCATTTATTTATTTATTTTGTTATTATTGCTTTCACAATAATTCTTTTTATTTTGTCATCTTATTTGTACTAACTTGTTTTTATGTTGCTTTTCCTTCTACTTGCATTGCATGATCACAATATTTTTTATAGGTGTTGATTTGTGAGTGGTCATCAGAGTAAAAGGTTTTCATTATAGACAAAGGGTTTCATGATCAAGTAGACTATAACACAGCTAAGGTGGCATCTTGTGGAAGCTCCGAGAATAATGGAGAGTTATGCACCCAAAGATCGTATGACCAAGGAAGAGCAAAATGAGATAAGAGACATAAGAGAGCAAATGTCTAAGATGGTGGATAGAATAGCTGTATTGGCCAAAAGAAAAGAGACTTCTGCAAAAGAAAATAAAGAGCTCGATGAAAACAATCTCGTGATGTCAAAAACACAAGGGACTACTTTAGAATAAACTGATTCTAGTCGATCTGAAAAATTACGTACAATCATCATTCGTATCAACAAGTTGTCTGGAGACACCAAGGAAATGGTGATAACAGTGGAAGTTCAGAAAGATGAGAATAAGCCATGCGATCAGAACTCGTTGGTGTCTGAGTGTCTACTTCCAACGTCAGAGGGAATAAACCTGAGGACTCCAATTCAATCCAAGTCAAAAGGTGGCTCTCATTTTGATTCTATCTCTATATCATATAAAGAGTTGTATGATAAGCTTTTAGAAGCTCGAGAGGTGGCCCCGCATTATGTGAAACTTTGGCAACCTCCATATCCAAATTGGTATAACGTCAATGTTCATTGTGAATATCATGTCGGAGCTTAAGGATATTTTATTGAGAACTGCAACGTCTTCAAGCATCGAGTCCAACATCTTTTGGATCATGGAATATTGGAGTTCGAAATAAAAGGTCGACCTAGTTTGGTAGCTGATTGTCCTGTTAGGATAGAGCCAAAACTGTTCAAAGGTAAAGGTATCAGTGGGGACATCCAAGAGGAAGAATGTTTGCCAAAGTACGAAGCTCAAGTGTGTCATTTGAAGATTGAAAATGATAAACTGAATAGAGAGATGAAAGCCATGCGTGATGGTTTTCAAATGATCAGTTAAGCCTTTAAAAATGCTGGTATATGAAATGCCCCAGAGGAGTGGGCAAAAGGTGTTAATAAATTGAAAAATGATGTTGAACAATGGAGAAGGAATTACAAGGCGCATGAAGGTCAAGCCAAGAAATTCTCTTATGATTTACAGATTGTAGAAGAAAGGCACAATTCAACCGCTATTGATTTGGGAAGATGTCAAGCCTAAAATCAGATGTTGAATATGTCTATAGCCAATATGGAAGCCTCATATCAGCGCCACAAGCGTGAGAATGATGCTGAGCTAGAAGCCACGATAACCAAGAACAAGACATTGATGAAGATTGTAGATGATTATAAAGATCTTGCACGAGAACTTCGCAACCACAAAGCCTTTCTTAGAAGGAAAAATGAACAACATTGTGTATAACTCCGAGAGTTGACACAGAAGATGAAAGAAAAAGACGATGGCATGCAAGAAGTTGTTGCCCAAGCAAGCAATGTATCTCACAAGTTGATTGATTTAACTAGCTTTGCGAGAGAATTGAAGCAAATTGACAACTCAACACCCGAGTATGAATGAAAGTTAACTTGACTTTTAAAGAGGGATATAGAAGTTAGGAGTTAAGGCTTATCCCTTATATGTAGAGTTTGTTTGACATACCGAAACCCATGTGTTCAATGAAAGTTGTTTTATGATGGTCACTCTGGAATGACACATCTTGCATACATACATTTACATTGCACATTTTGCATTCTCATTTCTGTATTTTCGCATTTGTATGTACATTTTTGCATCTGTACATTCACAAATGTACATCATACATTGCATAATATACATTGCATCTTAACGTGCATTGATCATAGATCCTGGCAATAACTCACGGAGAATATTGTTCAAGAAATATTGAAGGTAAATTGAGGCCACCACGTTCGTGCCTAGAGAAGATTGGAGAGCCAAGGATATGAAGCTTAGGGCATGCCACTAAAAAAACTATGGGGTACCAAAGAGCAAGTTACATAATCTGATCATTTAGGGGCATGGTCTTTTAATGAACAAGTGGGGCATTAGATTGTAACAACCCTGGAGATCCAATCGAGCACCCACGTGTCTGATGAGAATTGGGGCTTCTTAATTAGGAAGAGATCATTTCATCCATCATGAAGCTTGAAATGATATGTTCCCACGACGAAACATGTATCATTTGTCATGGTAGCCTAGTAGGCGTCGATCAATGGCAACAGTGTCATTGTATGATCTCTAAGCCGTCTTGAGTTCAGGGACGGAGTCAGGATTCCAACTTAAGGGGACAAAGTATAATTAATCATAAGAAATAGGGGGACAAAGTATAATTAACCATAGAAAATGAGGGGGACAAAATCAAAACAAAATAAAATTTGGAGTCCTAATTTAATATTTTGACATATATATTTTTTAATAATAAAAAATAGGGGGCAGCGACCCTCCTGGGACAAAGGGTAGTTCCGTTCCTACTTGGGTTATTGATGCATAAAGAGTGATTTACGTGAATATAGTGGAGGTGGTTGAGTGTTTGAAAAAAATTAAAAATTAGAAAGTTTTTTAGGTAAGTTAGATATAAAATTATTGTTCAATGACCCATTTTATGTTTTAATGACATTTGTTATTTTTAAAACTTCAATAGAGAAAATGTAAACTTACTCAAATATTAGTGACTGATTGTGTAGTTTACCTTTTTTTTAGTTTTATATATTTATTATGCTATAACAATCCACATCTTCTTAAAATTAAATTTTAAATAAATAAATGTTGAATACTTGTGAATTTCATAGAGGGTGAGTTCGGGTCTAGTTCGAATTTCTGTCTTCATTTCTCTTTACTGATCCTCATATATTTCGATTCTTTCTAGTTCATCTCTGGGTATTGAGCGATCTGTTCTCTGATTTCCAACGCCAGATTGACATTCCTTTTTCCTCTCAAACTTCCTCATGTTGTCTTTACCTTCAACCTCCTCGTCTTTTTCTAGAAAGAAATACGATGTTTTCTTGAGTTTTAGAGGTGAAGATACCCGCAAGAGCTTCACAGATCATCTCTATGATGCTCTGAAACGGAGAGGAATCGTCACTTTCAGGGATGATCCGAAGCTGGAGGCCGGCGAAGAGATCGCACCGGAACTCTTTAACGCAATTCAACAATCATGGTGCTCGGTAATCGTTTTCTCTGAAACCTATGCCTTTTCAGGTTGGTGCTTGGAGGAGCTTGCTGAGATTGTTGAACAAAAAAAGAATGGTCATAAAGTATTTCCAATTTTCTACGATGTGGATCCGTCTGATTTAAGAAAACAGAAAGGGGAAGTTGAAAAAGCCTTCGTCGGACACGAAGAGAGATACAAGGAAGACATAGAAAAGATTCGAAAGTGGCGAAATGCTTTGACTCAAGTGGCTAACATCAAGGGATGGCATTTAAATAACAGGTAAAATTGTTCTCTTGTTCTTTAGGCCATTGGTGTTTGTTCTTTAGACAGTAGCGTACTGAGCAGACATAGTTCTGAATTTGCTGTGTTGGTCTTAATTTCTGTTCTTAGATCATTTAACTTCATAGTCACATCTGGTAATTTCTTGATTATAGGCATGAATCTGAATTTATTGGAGACATCGTTACGAAAATATCAGCAAAATTATGTCAATCATACCCTGTTATTCATGATGAGCTGGTCGGAATTAGTTCATCCTTAGAGGAATTGCATTGCAAAATAGAGATAGGAGAAGATGATGTCCGCATTATTGGAATTTGCGGAATGGGCGGCATTGGAAAAACAACTCTCGCTAGAGTTGTTTACGACCAAATGTCATCTCATTTTGAAGGCAAAAGCTTTCTTGCTGATGTTCGAGAAGTTTCTCAGAAACATGGACTTGTTTCTTTACAGAAGCAACTTCTTACTCAAACCTTATTTGAAGGAGGTCTTGATATATTCGATGTTGAAGAAGGAAAAGCCATCATCAGTTATAGATTGTCTCACAAGAAGGTTCTTGTTGTTATTGATGATGCTGATAACATGCAACACTTGAAATGCTTGGTTGGAAGGCGTGACTGGTTTGGCTCAGGGAGCAGAATCATTGTAACAACAAGAGACGAGCATTTGCTCCGATCTTACCGAGTTGACGATGTGTATAAGCCTACAACATTGAATGGCGATGATGCATTTCATCTTTTCAATTTGAAAGCTTTCGGTAGTGATACAGTGACCGAATATGATTTCATTGAGCTTTCTAAAGATGTTGTACGTTATGCTGGTGGTCTCCCTTTAGCTCTTGAAGTTTTGGGTTCTTTTCTGTGTGGAAGAGATGCAACTCAATGGAGAAGTGCGATCGAAAGACTTAAACGAGATTCCAACACTGAAATTCTTGAAAAACTTCGAATCAGCTTCGATGGATTGGAAGAAAGGGAGAAGAACATATTTCTAGACATAGCATGCTTCTTCAATCGGGAGAAGAAAGATTTTGTAATGAAAGTATTGGATGGTTGTGAGTTTTTCCCAGATATTGGTATCGATGTTCTCATTAAGAAATCTCTCCTAAAAATCGACGAAGACAAACAATATTTGTGGATGCATGACTTGTTGCAAGAAATGGGAAGAAAGATTGTTAGGGAAAAATCTCTGAATGATCCTGGAAAACGTTGCAGATTGTGGGAGGAAAGTGATGTTCATCATGTGCTAACAGAAAATACGGTAAGTTATTCAAGAAAAATATACTTATTCGTTATTTATTGCAATTGAGTCCATCATTTTGTCCTTATTATACTTCCTTGTTAATTACTTTTAGGCTACGGAAGTCATTGAAGCCATGATCATCAGGTACGAAAACACACATACACATTCATCGATGCATATTCAGAGAATCAAACAATCATATCTCAAAACACATATTCAACTAGATACATGTATGATACACGAGTATTACAAAAAAAAAAATGAGCCTTAAAGTTTACTTGAAATTCATTACATAAAAGCTATCTTGCTTTGACACTTTTTTTTTACCCATGGTTATCAGTGAATCGAACAAGATGCTCAATTTGAGTGCCGATACCTTCTCCAAGATGAAAAACTTGAGATTGCTTAAAGTCTGTTGCCCCTCAAAGTGTGATGATCTCGATTATGTTTCTAATAAGCTACGGCTTTTAGATTGGAGAGCATATCCTTTAAGATCCTTGCCTTCAGGCTTCCAACCAGACAATCTTGTTGCTCTTCTCTTACCAAACAGTTGCATTGAAAACCTATGGAAGGGGAAAATAGTAAGAATTAATTCTTCTGATCCTTGTCTTTTAGCTTATTTTTAAGTTGAAAGTTGAACAAAAATAACAATAAAATTGTGTTTTCGTATGCATTTTGTCTCTAATTTACTGTTGTTATGAACAGCCTCTGTATAAGTTGAAAGTGCTCAACCTCGAAGGGTCCGAAAACCTGATCAAGACACCAGACTTCACGATGGCCCCAAATCTTGAAATTTTGGTTTTGGAAGGTTGTACAAACATAGTGGATGTCCATCCATCCATCGGAATTCTTAAGAGGCTTAAACTTTTGAATTTAGGAGGCTGCAAAAGTCTTAGGAATCTTCCACCCAAAATCGGAATGGAATCTCTTGAAACATTCATTCTTTCAGGCTGCTCAAATCTTCTAAGGTTTCCAGAGATTGATGGGAAAATGGAATGTCTGAGAACTCTTAATCTTTCTGGTTGTTGTAAAGTTGGACATTTGCCAGAGAATTTGCAGCACATAGAATTTTTGGAGGAGCTTGACTTAAGTGGAACAGCCCTAACAGAACCACCATCCTTCATTTTTCAATTTAAAAACCTTAAAGTTCTGTCTTTCACTGGGTTCAAGGGACCGGCTTCTAAGCTACGACAGAACCTGGCTTCTTTTTTCAATGTAATGCCGAGAAGGACAAGTTCCATTGCTCTGATGTTACATTCACTGTCTGGTTTGAGTTCATTAACAAAGCTGAAACTAAGGGACTGCAATCTCTGTGAAGGAGATATTCCTATTGATATTTCTTGTCTATCCTCTTTGATAAAACTTGATCTTGGTGGTAACAATTTCAGCAGTATACCTCCGCCCATTACTCTACTTCCCAAGCTTCGATATCTTAAATTGTCAAATTGCGGCATGAGCAATCTTGGTGAAGGAGATATTCCTTGTGATATTTCTTGTCTATCCTCTTTGGAATATCTTACTCTTAGTGGTAACAATTTCATCAACATACCTCCGTACCTGACTCGACTTTCCAAACTTTTTCGTCTTAGATTATCAAATTGCAAGAAACTTAAATCTTTGCCGGAGTTCGTAACAAGTATAGGATCTGTGCGGATAGATGCTTGTGATTCACTTGAAGTTTGTAACGCAGTGGGTCGGGATTTGCTTCAAGCTCTTAACTGCTACCAATTGGCCAAGAACAACAGTGCATTGAAGTTGTTGAAAGAACACATAAAGGTTGGTGAATATCTCTCTTTTCTCTCACAGTTACGTGGTTATTTATGGTGTTAGTTACCAAACAACGAAAGCTTTATTTTGCAGGTATCTGCAAATGCAACAGCTGAATATGACATTATTATACCTGGAAGTGAAATTCCTGAATGGTTCAGCCAACAGAGATGTGGATCTTCCATTAAAATATCTCTACCTCTTAATATTCGGAACGATAGTCAATGGATGGGAGTTGCTTCGTGCTGTATTTTTTCCAGAAATGATGCTTCGACGGATGTGAGAATCCGGTGCGCCGCCGTTATCGATTGTAAAAATCCTAGACAAAACTTTTATGATGACTCTATTTTCCGTGGTAGAAATCCTCAAGATTTCTCGGGGACTGGATGGTATTTGGGTGAAAATTTTAAGCATCCCATGAAGGACCATTTCTTTCTTCGATATTGGCCACGTGACCAATTATATCCATTTCCTTTGGATGATGAACGTGAAATCCAGAATTTATCGACAACAAATAGCTCAAATCTGAAATGCGATGAACTCGAGGTGTTTTTCTGCCGTTTCAAAGAAGCAAAGGTGAAGAAGTGTGGTGTTAGATTAGTGTATGAGAAAGATTTGGAAGAGATGGAACAACCAAAAGAGCAGCATACAGCTCAATCGTGCTCTGCAAAATCTGAAGACAACTCTGCTGCTGCTGATGGATCAACAGGCAGCAGTTCCCTTGTAAAGCGAAAACGTAATATCCACGAGGGCACGGAGGAAGGGCCACAACCAAAAAGGATGGAAAAGATTCTCAATCTTATAATGGGCAGACCAGAGAAGAAGCATTCATGAATTGAGGTAAACCACTTCACTCGCCTTGTTCTATTCCTTTCTTCAGTTCATTTGGGATATCTTTACTCCATATTTGTTTTGATATGAATATTAGTTATGATAAATGAAAAAGATGATTCTCTTTGGAAACATGAAAACATTTATATATAATATAGCTTCTGAAGAAATTTCAATCACTGCTGGGTTGGAATGCATACTTGCATATTAAACTTTATGGTGTATTCTTCCATTTATTAAAGACCAATCATACTCATAAAACATAGGCTTTGATTAGGTTAGCTTTCAAGAAATGGAGGAGAGTGAACCCTCTTAAGCAGGGATGTACTAGGGGTGGGTGGGGGAAATCGGTCCCCTGAAAATTTAAATTTACCATATATTTTAGATTTTTTTTTCTATGTATTTTCTACTGAAAATCTGTTTTCGCCCCGCTAAGTTTAAGTCTGTCCTTTACCATATCTAAGTGTCACTTATCTTTATCAATAATATGATTGGAATCGATAGGGATTAGTTTAATTGATTGAAGCACTCATTGATATTTAGGACTAAAAATTATCAAGTTTATAGCATGGGAACGAAATTCATTAAAAACACAGAATAAGGATCATCTACTATTAGGGATGGGTATGGGTAGGGTGTTTGGTCCACCCGATCCGACCCGAGAACAAGGAGTCATCCACCCTAGACCCGACACGACCCAACCAAAACAAGTTTTCACCCGACCCGATATATAAATTAAAAATCTGACCTGACCCGACCCGAAATAATTAAAAAAAATTATTCAATAAAAAGTGACTTAATTGAAAAAATAATATATAGAGGGGTATTATTGTAATTATTCCTAAATATATAAGGTAAAATTATATATTTTTTCGGTTGGGTCGGGTATTTTCATCCTAATCCCGAACCCAACCCGAACATCACATTAAAAAAACTCCGACCCAACCCGAACCTGATTTTTTTTAAAAAAATCCGACCCGATCGGATCTGGTCGGGTTCGAACCTGTCGGGTCCATGCCCATCCCTGTCTACTATTATTGTTTTGGATTTAATTCCCTATTTGTTTGTACTTTATATGAAACGGTTGCTACAAACTATTTAGATTGAGGTTGATAATGGGTTTTGAAAGTCAATTAAATTGGTCAAGGATGGCCCCGTGTTATCTGCGTGATAACGTCTCGACCTCTACGCAGTTCATCCAATCAAGGTGTTTATGTAAGGTCAGGTGATGGGTCGAATTCCATCGGTAGTGTTGCATATTGTAAGTTTGTTTCTTTGGTCCTTTTAAAAGTTGAAAAAATATAATTTAGTACAATGATAAATATATTTTATACTCAAAAAAATTTAAAATTCAACTCTAACCCTTCATAGATACGATCTAAACACTTGCCCTTCAATCGAAGTCAATTCGAACATGAACAAATCTGATCAAGAATAAAGAGATGGAATAACCTTTTAAAGTATGTGGACCAAAAATGAAATTCTATTTCAGTGTTTCAAAGGGAGATAGATGCCTTTACATTTGGATGGCCAATATCTATGTTCTTTATTCCCAACACTTGAGTGAATAGAAGGGACACCAGTGCCCTACACTTTTAGAACCATATCTAAATATATTTGTAGAGATAAACGATTTAAATGGGCCGACTTAATCAGATCAACCAATCATTCTATAAATATATTTGCAGAGTATTTTTCTTACACCATCAGTGCATGGCAAAATTATTTAATATATTATACTATAATTTTTTTGAAAATAACAAAAATAATTCATTTATCGAAAGCCGTATCAACAACGTTTTGTCAATTACAAACTGAACAAATGAAGCAATGAAGCACATAAACTGAATACACCAACGGCTCCGAGCATCAAACATGAAGGAGAAAAACTTCAAGAATAACCAAAATGATTAACGGACAAAACGAACTCTCCTTAACAACAATCCCATCGGCACATATATATGACAACCAACGAACCGTCTTGTACAAACGAACAGAATAATCATGTAGCGGGAAAGCAACAACCATGTTATCACGGAAAATAAAAACCAATAAGAAAATCAATAAAAACCCTGCAGAGAGTCCAAAACATCGGTAGTTATGATATCCTTTACTAGAGAAAGGATCAAGAGTATTATTATAATAAATAAAATAAAACATAACTAAAAATGATAGGATGGTGGTCGGAGAAGACCACCGCCGCCATGAATGCAGAAATTTAAAAACCGCCCAAGAGACTGTGCTAATTTCTGCAGAGAATATACATGTTTTGTTTATGAAGTTTATACGTAAGATAAAAAAATATTCTTATATTTTTTTAGGGTAAAAAAATGGTTGTCCCTTGTTCCCATATGTAATGAGGTAAGAAGGAGGTAAGATAGTAGGCTGCCCCTAACACTAGGTTGAGAGCAGCTTTCATAAGAGACCTCCAAATTATGAAATGCCATCCATGGGACTTGATCCCACGACCTCAAGATTAAGAACCTTGTGCTCTACCAACAGAGAACTACATATTTAATATCTAAATTATTAGTTTTAATCCGTTTCAGTATTTAAACTTTCTATTTTTTTAAAAATCATACCTAACGTCTAGTTTTTATTTCATTTTAAAGCCCTGCCATTAAAAACTTGACGCGTTTAGTACCTAAACTATCAGTTTTGATCCGTTTTAGTATCTAAATTTTCAATTTTTTTCAAGACTTAACGTTAAATTTTGAACGGTGATACTAAAATGAACAAAAAACTAAAGTTTTTAACCGACATATACTAAAATGAAACAAAGACTAAATTTTAGACATGGTTTTTTAAAAAAAAAATTGGAAGTATAGCTACTAAAACGCGTAATTGTCCCTTACTTTTAAATATATATAAATATCATTTATAATTCTGAGTTTGATCACATATGTAAAAATATAAACATTTATTATAAAATATATTTTTAAATATTTAATATGTTTTATTTAGAAGTAAAATCAAACTTGGATAGTCTTTGCATTTTATAGAGAGAAAAAAACAAAAATATCAGATAAAAGTATATAAAATAATGAAAAATCGTACAACATATTATCTTCTTTCAAACTTGAAAGAGAAATGAAATGGGCATGAGAGGAGGAGAGGAGGCCAACCCGTCCATTATTAAGATTCCTTCATACTTTTCTCTAAACAAGCGTGTGCTTCCCATGCATATGTGGGCCCAATTATAAATAAAGACCGACGGATTGTTTGAAAATTTTAAATTTTTATATAATTTAGATATTATTATATTTTTTATTTAAAATTTGATGAATCCGTATTTAACATAAAATCATATATTCGTCTCGTGTGGGTAGGAATAGACCGAAAGAGGAGGATGGGAGCAGTCTCCCCCTAAAAATTTAAAATTACTAACATAAAATTCAAGTTTAAGTTTTTGCTCCTTAAAATTTTATAAGTTTAAATTTACCCCTGCAATTTTAAAAATTCAAGTGCATCTCTTAACATAAAATTATTTGTCCGTCTCTTCGTTTGTACCCTTACCTTACCACTATCCTCGTTCTGTACCATTTCGGTATACTTTCTCATCTATAAATACATCCCCATGGAACCATACCAAATCCATTGCAAGCTATACCTCGACATACTAAAACAAAAACCCTAAAGTTTCCACGTTCGAAAACCCTCCCACATTCACCATGTCTGACAAGTGCGGCAACTGCGACTGCTCCGACAGCAGCCAATGCACGTAAGTAACTAATCCGTTCGATCCACGACACGCGTCTCGTATTACTTTTTGTATTAATAATAAATATTCGAACACGAACATGATGCGTGTATCACACATGTTGTGTCTGCAGGAAGAAGGGAAACACCATGGTAATCGAGACCGAGAAGAGGTACGATACATGACATAATTCACCACTATCTATGTTACTCGAACTCGGGTTCACGGTTTCGATATCGATATATGTGTACCCGTGTATGGTGATTATGTGTTGTGTTGTTTATTTGCAGCTACATCAACACTGTTGTGATGGATGCTTCAGCTGAGAACGATGGCTGCAAGTGCGGTCCTAGCTGCGCCTGCACCAACTGCACATGCGGTCATTAAGCAAAACATGGAACCATGGCCATGGTTTTAAGACCATGGCGAGATCTAAAAGAAAAATAATGAATTTGGGTTTGAATAATTCGTGTTCTTGTGTTTGTAGTTTGTGTCTCAGGTCTGTCTGCCTGTCTGGTGTTCACTTATGATGTAGTGTCTATGTCCATGGCCATGGCCGTGGCCTTATCTGGTTAATGAAGTATTATTAGTATAACTCTCTGTAATTTGAATTCTAATAATCATTTGATGGAACTCCAAAATTCACAGCTCTTCAAACATGGGTGTATTCGGTTCGAGTTTTTAATAAAAGATGAACCGAACTACACTATGCAGTTTTCTAAAATTGAAATCAAACCGAATAGCATAAAAACTGAAATTTTTGGTTTAGTTTGATTCGGTTTTGTTTCATTTTAGTACCATGTTCAAAATGTAATGTTAAGTTTTGCTAAAAATGGAAGTTTAGACACTAAAACGGACTAAAATTGATAGATTAGACTGTTAAGTTTTTAACAGTGGGGCATTACAATAAAACAAAAACTAAACATTAGGTATGATTTTGAAAGAACTGAAAGTTTAAGTACTAAAATAAACTAAAATTAATAGTTTATGTACTAAATGACCCCCAAAAAATTGTCATCTGTTTTAGGAGTGTGCATTAAAATTTGTCTTACAAAACATTCTAAATGAATTTGACTTGCATCATTATTTTTTTAATTCGATTTGATTTGGAACAAACGGGTTTCATATAAAAAATTGAACCACCGTTGTAAAATTAGACATTGAAACTAAATCAAAACCGAACCATAAAATGAAAAATCCAAACTGAACTGAACCCCATAGTGTGATTAAGATCGGTTTTTCGATTTTCTCGATTCTCTGTTCAACCCTACCTTCAAGCTTCCATAGATGGCAGCTTTCTTTGTCAATCAAGGTTAAGAGAATCAGACCAGACATGAAGATTAAAAAAGACAATAATTGCAAGAATATGTTCTCCATGTAGGGTTGCTTGCTTTACCAAGTTGTCATTCTCACCACCAAAATATTCCACAAGTTCAAACAGGCTCACAAGATGGGAAAATACAATGAATCCAACACCAATAACCAAGAGAATGTTTTTTCCCACATTATTTCCTAGATTTTATTATAAATTAAAATCATTTGTAAAAAAAAAAAGTCAATATATTGAGTAATTATTTTATTATAAAAAATACTCAACAAAATAAAAACTTCCATTTTTATAGCGTGTGGAATAATCAAATGATCAATACTGTCTTCTCAGATATCAGGTTTCCAAAACACTTACACTAAAATAAAATAAAAGGTAAATTACGCGTTTAATATCTAAATTATTAGTTTTAGTCTGTTTTATTATTTAAATTTTGATCTTTTTAAAATTATACTTAAAGTTTAGTTTTTGTTTCATTTTAGTAATTCTCGTTAAAAATTTTAATTTTTATTTCATTTTAGTACCTCATTCAAAAATTTAATGTTAAGTTCTAAAAAACTGAAAGTTTAGGTACTAAAACGAATCATAATTGATAATTTAGATATTAAACGCGTTAAGTTTTTAACGAGGGTACTAAACTGAAATGAAACATTAGGTATAGTTTTAAAAAAAATTGAAAATTTAAATATTAAAACAAATCAAAACTTATAATTTAGATATTAAATACGTAGTTTACCCGAATATTAAATATCATTAATTTCAGTTTTTCCAAAAAGACTTTTTCTCTTCTATGTAAAAGGAGAAAGAATCTACAAAGTCCAAGGAAAAAAAACTTTATTCTGGGGGAAGTTTTACAGTGCACCACTTTAATTACGGTTAAAATAAAATGTTATCAGTTTTATTATTATTTAAATAATAAAATGAGTAAAAAATTACGTAAAACATTATTATTTTTACCTAAAATATCAATTTTTTTAATATTTTTGATAAAAGTGTACAATAATAACAAATCCGGCAGAAAAAATAACAAAACCGATAAAAATAATAATATTTTCGGTCATTTTTTATCGATTTTATTATTTAAATAATAACAAAATCGATAACACATTTTTTAGCCGTTTATTAACGCTGCCGCACATTTATCTTCTTCTAGATCCATTTCTCTCTCATTCTTTCCATTTTCACTTGTATACTTTAGATCACTAAACTCTCTATAGGATACTTACTTTTTAGAGTTGTCCATCGTTTTCCTTTGACCGCTATGTAACAAGCTTTTTGTTAAAGGTTACTTGAAAAAAAAAAGGGGGAAGATTTGCCATTTTTTTACGAGTTCAAAGCTTTTGGGTCGAGTTTAGAATTTATGGGCTTTCGAGTAGTTTGACTGGACGAGAGTGGAGGGAAATTTGAGTGTACAAAGGACTGTCATTTTCAAAGGTGGTATTGAAATTGCATTAGTTTGTTCATTTCAAAGCTTGTTTTAGAAGTGATTCTTTTTCTTAATTTTATAAAGGCTGTAGTTTTGTTGATTTTCCTAGGGAGAAGGGCTCTTTCATATGTTAATTTTAATGAAGAAATGAGGGGTTTGATTAGATTGCCGATTTGCATTCAATGTTGGGTTTATACTTTGTCCTGAATGACGTTTTCCGTAAGAGGTCTTCCAAACATCGGGATAACATGATTTTGCATTTCTTAATTAAAAAAACTCAGTTTTAATGAGTAGAAATATCCTGCTAATCGAGAAATTTATGCTTTCCGTTGAAGGGCTATCTGACATTCAATTCATTCACCTATTGAGCGGGTGAAGTGTTACGTACAGCAACTTTTGTGTGGCCTTGATCATTGTCATAGCCGTGGTGTCCTTCATCGTCACATAAAGGGTTCCAACCTTCTAATTGACAAGAATGGCATCTTGAAGATTGCAGACTTTGGTCTGGCTAGCTTTTATGATCCCCATCAGAGTCAGCCCTTGACAGGCCGTGTCGTAACCCTTTGGTATAGACCACCAGAGCTTTTACTTGGAGCCACTAACTACGGTACTGCTGTGGATTTATGGAGTACAGGTTGCATACTTGCCGAGTTATATGCTGGGAAGCCTATTATGCCCGGAAGAACTGAGGTGTGCCTTTATCATTTACATGAAATATTTCCTACAAAGTATTTAGAATATAAGAGTTTTAAGCCTTGTGATGCATGTATCAGAAAGGCCCGAGGCCTGATCTTGAAAGAAAAGCAACAAAAGAGTCTCGAGCTGTTCCGGCACCTGATGCGAATGCTGAACTAGTTTTTGTCAATGCAGGTGACGGCCATTCGTAATCAGTTTATGCATCATGATATTAGTTTGTTCACCGATGTCACCGCTCATGAAATCTTTAAGCTTAACGGCCTCGGAAAACAGCAAATTAAGCCATTTCTGCTATTTAGAGTTGGTTTTTAAGCATATTAATGGTATTATCCCCAAGCTTTTGGTTATAAGCTAATAGTTTCATTTAGCTTCTCGTTCATCCATCCATCCATCCATCCATTCTTTTCTTAGTCAAATTTTCTTCTTTTAGAACAGTTACTTTAATTCAGCATTTCTGACATTGTTTTGACATTCCAGAAAAGCCAAGGTCGATCCAATTCAAAGAGCCGGAGCGAGAAGTTTAATCCTCGTCCCGGAGAAGTCGCCTCAGGCTTTCCTATTGATCAGCCTGGGCCCTTACATAAAATCTGTGGATTCATCACGAGGGAGCCTCTCATTCAGGGCCACTGGCTCACCGTGCTGCTCGGGAAAAATCTGTGGAAAATCTGGATGATGCTCCAAAAATTTCCACAAGGGCTGACTTGTCAATGATGTCAGGTTTAGTGGCGCCAAGGAGTAGTCTTACATCTGATGATTCAAGAGAAAAATCTGTTTTCTCACAATCAAAAGCTCCGAAAATGATTGCAAGATTTCCAGGGTCCTCTGAATCCAGCTCCGAACAGGATCCGAGACACAATGATCAACAGAAAGATGGAAGAAATAACAACAAAGATCCAGTTTTGGTAAGTACCGATAGTGAAACTATTTTCCGCCTCAACGATTGATTCTCCTGTTGAACTATGTTCAAAAGAATACGAGCCTCGATTAGTGATAATTTGTACACTTCTATTTCGTGTTCTCGTATTTTCAGTTCGATATCCTTTTAGGTTTTTCGGTTCCTTGCTGGTAAATAACTTTTGATCCATTTCAAGCGTCTGATACATGCTTCTCAACGATGTTTGTTTCCAGCTTGGATACGGTTCAAAAGGCCAAAAAATTCACTATTCCGGGCCGTTATTAGTTCCGTCAGGCACCATGGACCAGATGCTCAAGGATCACGATCGCCAAATCCAAGAAGCTGTTCGGGGGAGCATGGCTTGACAAGGCAAATATGAGAAGAAATCAGTTAGAAGGGAACGAAATATCAACCAGATCGTTATTCGACTCCGGTCATTGAGCTGGCTGAACTTTGCTAACAGAGAATCAAGACGACCATTGTCAAGACGATCGCTGCAAACGGTTCAGCTGTTGGTTCTCGAGCAAAAATACGATCCATGCTGCTGGGTGATGTTTCTTGTATAGGTTGATGTTCTTAGGAAGATGGCTAGTGGGGCATATTTAGGTAAGCTTATATAGTTTATTGAGAAAAGATATCTCTGTGATTGATCATGTATATTCCTTTTCACCTGGCAACTGTAATTTGCCAATATTATTGGCCCATTCTTGTAAAGTATGATCAGAAGATGGAGATCTATTGTTCGACTAAATCCGGATCGGACTTTACATAAGTCCAATATCAATAGGCATGTGACTAGCTTTGTATTAAAGTAATTGTTGGGATTGGGAATTAACTTTGAGCAAGATCCATTAGTTAGGGTTAGCCATGAAGTTTATAGGAAAATGGAATACATATTTAATCAACTGCTATAGGATCAATTAAACCCTAAACCATAGCATGCTGGGTAACTACTTTTTTTTCTTTGAAAAGGGTATATTTTGTATGATATATAACGAGGGTTTATATAAAATAGGACATAGTGTGAACCTCGTTAAAAAATCTCCCTAACCTATATGGAAGAAAAAAGAGTGCTCACACGATGTCCAGAGTTAAACATTCTAAC